CTTCAAAACACTTGATTGACCAATCAGAAAAAAGAATTTTATTAACTGGCCATTCAAAAAATGCTTTGAAGCATTTGTAGCAGCAACTCAACTGCACCCTATAAAGGTAAATTTTCACGAGCTGCTCTAACCGGCTATTTTAGCGACAAAAAGGATTACGTGATCAAAATGGATATTTGATATTCGTCAATTTTGACCACGTGATTCTTTTTGTCGCTGAAACAGCTGGTTTGAGCAGCCCGTGAAAATTTATCTTAATAGTAAAAAATATTCCGTTATATATACTCGGTGAATGGTTAACGGTTTGTAATTTCAATTAAAAAATTAAAATATGGGATTGCATAATTAACTATTATATCTCACACAATACACACATTTATTTTTAATAAAATAAAAAAAATTGTACTAAATATCTTCCATAGTTCAGAAAACGGTAGTTCAAATTATTCAAAAAAATATTTTGACACCTTATTTGTTTCGTATACATGTATGTGAATATATAAGAATATAACTTCAAAATCATTAAAAAACTTCTGTCGGAATGTCACTCCTCGATAAATAAGTAGTATCAAATGTAAAAATGTGGTTATGTTGGTAGCCATAGAGAGACAACACAGTCGAACTCATCATTTTAGCTGTGTACGATTGTGTCGTAGTTGGAAAGCACCGTGTCGTACACTGTGATAGGGTCCGCGCACAAAGATGGTCGCAACTGAGTCGTAGTCGTAAGTCGTTGTCGTAGGTCAACGCACAAGGATTTTACGTATGTCGTTTACGTATATCCTATTGCGTCAATTGACGCAAACAACTGGCGCAATAGGATATACGTAAACGACATACGTAAAATCCTTGTGCGTTGACCTACGACAACGACTTACGATTACGACTCAGTTGCGATCATCTTTGTGCGCGGACCCTTACACAGTGTCTACTTGTGTCGTAGCTGGAAAGCACCCTACATGTAGAGTCCTAGATATCAGAGAAGCGTAAACAATGTTAAACGTCCTGATTGGCGTGACTGTCAGCCAATCATAACATTTATTCATTGGTACTAAATATGGCAGACGAATAAATTATTAGTTGATTTCATAGTCCGTCTGCAAACAACGCCATTTTTAGTACTTTTCTTAGTAATTTTGTGATACTGACTTGAGCCGGTTGCGTTTCTCTGATATCTAGGACTCTAGGGCGCCCTTTCGTAACCCCGGATTTACAATACATGTTGTAAGCCTTAAGCCGTAAGAAATTAACCAATTACAATTTGAGGAGAATAATCGACTAAGATTCGACCTTTTCTTATGGTGTAAGGTTTAGAACTCTATTGAGTGCTTTCCATTTGATGACACAAGTTTACACAAGTCGACACAAGTGTCGTTCTATCTTTATCACTCTCTGAATGTCAACAAGGATAGAACGACCTGTGCCGACTTGTGTCATCAAATGGAAAGCACCCATTGTAGATCCGGGGTAACAATGACCATAATAGCACAGTATAACCATCCCCAGTAGCGACACTGAGTGTCGGCACCTTTGATGTAGTAGGTTCTAGGTCACGTGGTATACCGCCATATTGTTAAATGTACCGGCGCTGCGATTAAAACGTATGCACGGAAACAAGTAACTCTCATCCCTTTTCATGTTTTCTCATTACTTCTTATTATTTTTATTTTGTAATATATATGCAATATCGGGTGTTAGATTATTTGTGTCCTCATATGTACGTATATAATCAAAAAAATATTTTCTGTGTAATTCGAATTATGATTCACAGAATTGTATGAAAGTAAAGAAAATAAAAAGGAATAATAAATTTTTTTTAATCGTGATCTGTTATCATATGCTCTTTGTTAACCTGTCTTCTTTTTATTATAAAATAAAATAATAAAAAAAATTTTTTTGTACACATTTTTGAATTTTTTGTAATTTATAATTGTAAAACGTACAAATCTTATATATTTTTAAGTAAAAAGATTCACAAATGAAAAAATTTCTTATGTCTATTCCAAGTATTTGTGTAGATATTTTGCAGTTTTAACTAAAGATGAATATTAATATTTTAAGGTCATTCAGGGGAAAACGCTACAGTTAAGCGTTTATTCTTGAATAACTTCTTAATGTTATTGAATTAACTTACGATAAAATATTATTTCCATTCTAGAAATCTTTTTTTATTTATACAAAAATTAACAAATTAAACACACGGAATATTAACTTTTGATGTTCTGTATTAGTGGAAAAAATGGATATGTCATATCTTGCGAAAGTGGCATTTTTTCCCTCTCTCTCTCTCTCTCTCTCTCTCTCTCTTGTACCACCTTCCCTCAAATTATTTTAATATTATTAAACTTAATAATATAAAAATATTAGTATTCATTTTTTAATTAATTGTTTTTTATGGATGTCCTTCTGTAGAATGTACTCTACTAGATGTGAATTTCAACTGAAACAAACAAAAATATCATATATAATCATATATAATCATTAATCATAATAATATAAGGTAAATATGTCCCAAACCAGATAACAAAATGTACAGTGATATCATAGTGCGTATGTATAAGCGTGCGAATTATTCGCACGACGTGAATGTATAAAACAACATTTATGAAAATGTAATAAATAAATTCATAATTCCTAAAAAATAATATATAATATCATAAAATGTATTCACTATCATTGACGATTATAACGTTAAGAAGTTGCGCGTCTATGCCAAAGATACAAGTTCAAATCCACGTACATATCAAATTTTTAATTGATTACTATCTGTCGACAGGCAATGGCAACCCATCGAAAGTACCTTTAACAAGACAATTAACATGTATGAGCATGCATAAGCTGTATGAGCATGGATAAATAGGCAAAAAATTAGTTTTCAACAATACAGATAATGTTATGACTATATTATTTTAGCAGGTAACACACACGGAATATATACATTTTTATAAAATCTCAAATATATTTCTCTTTAATAATAAAATAATAACTTTAATAATAAAATATAATTATATAAATGTTAACAATAAAATTAATTTTGAGAAACGCAATCGCTTTTATAAAAGTATTAAATAATAATTCGCATTCACACACAGAAAGAACGCAGAGAAAGAGAAAAAAAAGAAAGAAATACTGAATTCTAATTGTGACGTAAAATGATAGCTTTTCTGTATCCGGGCTGCGATTTAAAACTCTTGTTAATAAATTTTAATGTGTAAAATAGTCGTATACGAGCATATAATTTCAATAAGTAATCATAAGAAAAATGTTGACACGGATGACTGAATGGAACATCTTTGAAAGTGTTAATAAGTTTAAAAACTACATGCTTTTGTATGATCAATTCCTCAATTTTCGAATAAAATAAATCTTCTAATGTTTTAATATACATTACGAAATCATCGTTCGGCATAAATAAGCTTCCAAAAGGATTATTTTCAGTAGAATTGTAAGCCTTAAAAAAGCAATAATATGACGTTTGATTTAAATCTATATATGAGCGTGCATATTGTAGACAAATCTCACACGAATGTTTTTTAATACATTTACGTATTAAATATCCACATGTATATCGGAACACATCTTGTTCATTTACGTCCATCTCACGATAATCATGATCATCCAAAAGTATTTGTTTAATATCATCTGTCTTGGATTCAACATCCATATTATTCTCCTCTCTAAAGTTTGTAATAGCTGCAAATATCTCAGTATTGTCTCGTTCACAATTTCCAGTTTTAACTGTACAATATTTTATAGAGAAAAGTTTTTTGAATGAATTGGAAAACTGAATGGAAGTAGGATTAAAAGCATTGCCATTCAAACCTCGAATATCAGAGAAAAAGTGTTCCAAACAGTCCTGAGTAAAACGGCGTAATAATAAAAATTCGATTTCTGGAGAAACATTTTGCAAGTATTTCCACATTTTAAGAAGAGAATTTATATTATGTGTCATGCATTTGAAAACTTTAACTTTATTAGAAATGTTTACACCAGATTTATTAAATATCGTTAATTTGGATATATAGTCTTTGATTTTTGAAAGAAATTCTAATTGATATTGCGCACCCCGAAAAGCTTGTTGAAATTGTGATGGATGTTGAACTGAAGATGAATTAAATAGATCAAAGTAATCGTTCGCATTTTGAATAAATTCTGCTGTTCTAAGTGCAATTTCTGCATCTGCAGGTTTAAAATCTCCAGAAACTACCATTTTCCTCAAACTACTACTCACTGTAGAGCTCAAAATTTGCGTTGCCAAATTTACTTTCATTCTTTCAAAATTCGAAAATTTGATATGTTTATCAGAGAGTTTAGGTGCAAGTCGAAATTGTCTAGTTTTATCTTGTTGAAATAAATAATTAACGCACTCCCAAGAAATCGGTTTAGAATCGTACTCAATAATATTGTCATGGAAATTATTTCTAACAGCTTTTATTATATGAGGCGTATCAAAGAAATGAGAAATTACTTCGTTATTAACAACGAAAAATGGATTGTCGTCTGTTACACCTAGATATTGAGCAGTTTGTTTAAAATTCGCTCCCATGTCGGAGACAAGTGCGAGTACTTTAAATCCTGCATTTTGCAGTTTTGCAATTATTTGAGGAATAATGATTGTTAATTTTCTAGCAGAAAATGAAGAATTGAGCAAGAAGTAAGCTAAAGGTTGTTTCCAATTGGTGCAAATCCCTCGGATCATTAAGGTTGCAACATTACATGCTGGAAGAAATAATTTGTTATCTCCTAAGTCTTCAAACCCAATGACTTCATCCCTACTAATATTATAATAGAGATTTGCTTTAATTGATGCTTCATCAATGCATAAAATGCAATATTTATCAAGAGATGACAAAGAACACTTCAATTTTTCCTTCAAGAAATCAAAAACAAAATCATGCAAACCTGAAGAAAATTTCAAATGTTCAATCATGCGTTGTAAAGTTCTAACATTAGGAAGGATAAACTTTTGTGCAAAAGAATTATAAGTCTTATTTCCCCCACATAACAAAATATCTAAACAAAACTTTTTAAATGGAAGCGAATATTTTCGTCCTTTAGCTGACTTATATTTATTAAGTCGTACTTGAGTTTTCACAAAATTTGCAACCTTATGGTCGTAAAAATTCGTTTGTAGCTTCACAATATTCTTCTAAGGAAATTTTCCTCGCACAAATTTTTATTTTTATATTATTTGTCTGCCGTTGTAATTGTCGTTTTAATTTTCGAACTTATCGATGTAATGCTCTAATTCGGCCTCTCAAAATAGTTTTGCGCGGGGAATGATTGGAAATCATTGACTCTGTTTGAGTGTACTGATGTTGTACATGCAACACTGATTCAACATGGTCCTCTTCATGCACGTTACTTATCAAATTATTGTTATTATCTGTAATATTGAAAAGTACTAAATCAATTAAAAAACCCAAAAAATTAGTTTCATGTTTCATAGTTATTGTATTTATCTCTAGAAAAGAACGAGCAATGAACAAGAAACAAAAGACATAAATTGTGAAAACATAAATTTTACATATAAATTTTAATTTCTAATTCATTGAAACTTTTGTTACTATTTAGTTCCATACTGAACTAAAATTATTATCTGATACTGATTGTTCAACCTTATTTGAAAATCTCGTTTTAAATAGTTGTTTAACACAATTACATTTAATAATGTTACACTCAACTAAAATATAATAATTATATGTTCCAAATTTCTTATATTTTTAACAAGTTCAAAATGCCTACGTGATATTAATGTATTTTCTTCAGATTTATCACTCAAATTGGATGTTGCATTATTTTCACTTGATTGATCGTTATCATTTCTTATAGGTTCGGGGATTGCATGTGGTTGAAGTCTGTTTTTCAAATCGTTTAAAAACATTGACGATTTAAAATGATTACCACAAACTTTATAATTTTTGTGCAAATTTTCTGGTGTCGTGTTAATTTTGCTATTATTACATTTTTCCAACCACAATTTTGCTCTGAAATACGTTTTGTATAAAATATTACTGAAAACACTTGATATATAATTTAATTAACAATAAACTTGATAACGAAAAATATTTTTACCTATCTGGATCTTTCGGAAAATAAAAAAAACTGATATTATGTCCCCGTCCAGAAATATTTGAACAATTATTCATAGCACAACTATATCCACCACGCTTCATTTTAATGACGATTATATTACTCTTTTCTAATACAAAATAATGATAAATTTATTGTTATTATTAATTTCAAGAAACGAAGAACATGTCATGTACTGTAAATTGAGGTTACCTGTAATACATGTACTCTGGACGCATCCATATTGTTAAATGTACAAATTCACGCATGCGTACTAAAATTTGGTCACGGTCGAACCGGCTAGTGTCGCTACTGGGTATGGTTATACTGTGATAATAGGCCTTCTATAATAAGCCATAAGTTATAAATCAGATGTCATAGGCTAGAAATGGACCAATCACAGTCATTAATTTTTAGTTTCTGACTTCTAATTTATGATTTAAGGTGCATTTTCACGAACTGCTCAAACTGGCCGTTTCAGCGACAAAAACGATCACGTGATGACTTTTGTCGCAAAATTATTAGAGCGACAATTTTATACATGAAAAAAAAGCGAGTAGCGTTAAATTTGATATTTGAGCGACAGATTTGACATGTTGTTCATATTTTTCATGTATCACTTGGAATATTAACGCGTTAAATTAAACAGTCATCAGGAGACGCGGTAGTGGCTCCGGCCATGTTCAAAAATCAAAAATAAGAGATAAGAGACACTACAAGTCTCTTATCCTGTACCACCAAAGTCCATTTTTGGAGATTGCATAACTAATAAAATATAAAAAATTTTGAATCGGACGTAACATATTTTGAAGGCGGCATCGTCACGAGTAATTTAAAAAAAAAATTAAAAATCGGTTAAGTCGTTCTGGACATACGAGTGGTCGAAAAGTGATGACTTTTCATGAAAAATTAAGAAACGTTTTCTTCTCTGTCCGCGTTCAAGGCCATCGGAATTTTAATTTTAAAGTATCTCTCACCTTTCATGTCTCTCACCCTTCACTCATA